ACTTTTTCATTTGTACAAATCTTCCAATTCTGCACAATGTATATTCTGTAATAATGGTTTTTTTTAAAAATATGAGTTTTCTAAATATTAAAGTTATGACAATGAAAATTATACATTCTGTTAAAGGATACATAGTGATAACAATATCGACAATTCAATAGAGATATTGACACTATGGTTGAATAATGAAAGTAACAAGTATCACGGAGTTGAAGTAAATTTTGACGAAGGATCCAGTGGATTTAAAGACGAGAATGGAATTGCTCATTGGTCGACGCAAAGATTTTTACATATAATAAATTTACGCGAAAAAGCACTCGACGCGGGAAGAAATATTTGGGCAGACTTTGTTTGGGTAAAAATTTTTTTCAAATTTTCATTATAAGAAATCTTGTCAATTTTCAATTCAGTTAAACAATGATTGTTCTACGAATGGATCGAGAAGTTTTGCTTTCGTTTAAATAAAAAATAAACGGGAAGGCATATTTTATTTTATTTTTCATTTAAATATAATAAAATTTATTTTTTATTTAAACGAAGACAAAGACTTTTCAGTCCGCTTTCGTGGATTGGATCTCTTCGCTCTCTCCCTCCCCCCCCCCTCTCTGTCTTTCTTTATATTCAATTCTAGATGCTTGATGCAGATGTTTTCCTAACAAACCCGAATATTCTTAACGAATTGATCTCGAAAAATGAAACTGTAGTTGCTCCGTTGTTAAAATCCGATGGCTTGTATAGTAATTTTTGGGCCGGCATGACCGATGATTTCTACTATTTACGAACAGAAAAGTATGAACCGATATTGTTTCGGGAAGTAAAAGGATGTTTCAACGTGCCTATGATTCATAGTGCCGTTCTTATAGATTTAAGAAAACATACCTCAGATAATCTGACATACGAACCAAAAAATCTGAACCAGTACAACGGTCCTATCGACGACATTATAACTTTTGCCGTCAGTGCTAATAATTCTGGTAAACTGATGTTAAAGTTTTTACAAAATTTTTTAAAAATTTTATACTCCATCCATTGATAGTTTCTTTCCTTTCTTCTATTCATGCTGTAGATGTGCCGCTATTTATTTGCAACGATAATATTTATGGGTTCATCATGGTTCCATTGGAAGAAGAAGAAGCTATTACCGAAGATTTACAAAGGCTGACTAATATTAAAATAGAAATATTATGTAAGTTGAGCCAATCATGAAAAACAAAGGAAATTGAACTTATTAAATTATAGAATAACAATAGTTTTCCATAGATACATATAAATAATAATTAAACTTTCATTTTTTCTTAGCTGACAATAATTATCTTCCATTGTCAATGCATCTTGAACAATTTGTACAATATCCTACCATGGATAGATTGCAAGTGGATGAAATTTATATGATAAATCTTTTAAGAAGACCAGAAAGACGCGACAGAATGCACAACATTTTTAAAGAACTTGGAATTCAAGCAGAAACTATTGATGCTGTTGATGGTAGGTAAGTCATAGATGTGAGAGTAAATCTATATCTGTAATCTGTAAATTTATGTTAAATTTTTACGTTTTTACGTTAAAATATTTTTTATTTTATCGGACATTTATAATTATTTATATAATGGATGATTGAAAATCGTTAATTTTTCACTATCATTAGAATTAACTTTATACTATAATTTACATATTTAACTATTCAGCACATTAAGTCTGGAGGATCTTGAGACATTGGAAATAGAGATAATGCCAGAATATATTGATCCTTATCATAATCGGTAAGCGCAGCGAAAAATAAAGTATCAAAAATATCTTGAACAAAAATAACATGAGCAACTAACTGAGAAAGACAAAATTACAGACCAATGACTATGGGTGAAATCGGATGTTTCTTAAGCCATTATATTGTCTGGAATAAGGTAACTACATGAAATTTGTATAATGAAGTTAATAAATTAGCTCGTTAAAATAATTGATTGTATCAAACAATATTAAACGTAATTAAAAAATTACGTTAGGTGGTCAAAAACGATTTCAAAAATATTATCGTCTTGGAAGATGACGTTCGTTTCGAACCGTTCTTCAATCAAAAAGTAAACTATATTTTAAAAGAATTGGAAGATCTCCAGCTTGAATGGGATTTGATGTAAGTATTTAATATTCAGAAAATATTTCTTTAATTGCAAATTGTTTTACTACCAATTTTACTGAAAGGAAAAAGATTATACAAAGTTCAATATCATTGTATGTTAGTTATCTGGGAAGAAAAAGATTAACAGAAAATGCCGAACCTTGGATCAGTGGATCGAAATATTTGGTACGAGCTAGCTATAGTTACTGGACGTTAGGATACATCCTGTCTGCAAGTGGTGCAAAAAAACTACTAGACGCAATGCCATTAAAACAATTAATTCCTGTCGATGAATATCTTCCTATATTATCTGATGTTCATCCTAGGTAAAAAAAGAAAACAAAATATTCTGTGACAATCTTTCTAGTAATCAGTTTCTTTTATTTGTTCTTTCAACTGCATTTTGTACACTAAAACTATTCTTTTTGCACAGGAATGATTGGAAAGTGTACTATCCAAACCGAAATTTAATAATGCTTTCCGCACATCCTTTATTAATTTATCCAACTCATTACACCGGTGAACAAGGATACGTCAGTGATACAGAAAACTCTACAATTGCATTTAACGATCAAAATATAGATAAATTGGAACGCGAAGATCTATGAGTGCCATAAAGACTGTTGTAAAAAAGTGGATGTGAAAAATACTCAAGTAGCCTTTTTTTGGCAAAAGCATTTAACTTTCCATGACAAGATATATTATCATTTGCATTTATATTGTAAGAATATTGCTCGTGCAGCAAGTGATACATCAAAATACAAGATTCAAACAATATTTTCTCTCCTCTTTCCTGTAATGGGAATTTAAAAGTTTGAAATTTAGAATCGTTATTCGTTTTCAAACAGGTACGTTTACTTGATTTATAATTCTTCGCAAACTACAAAACTTGGGTCAAAACTAAATATAAACATAATTTTAAAAAAAGAACGCAAGGCGATTCTAAATATATATATTTCTTCATTTCATGAGATTTTCACGATTTATTCGGATTTATTAGGTAGAATTTCTAAATTATTAAATTTTTAAATTAATTAACACATAAAAGTTAACAATCGGATTCCTTAATTAGCTTTTTTATTTTTAATTAATTCATGATGATAGACAAAAGTCGTGAAGTTGTTGCTTATCTTTACCAGAGTCGTCACATCGATGAGGAAGCGTACTCGACGAGTGGAAAAAAATTCCAGGAAAATCAGTACAAATAAATACGCGCAAAGAACCATTAATAAAACTATGTATTTACGACAAAAATATATTCATTCATTCTTTTGCACACTTGTTGATATACCGAATTCTCATGCTTAACATTTGAAAATGGCATACTTTCTATTTAACCTTTAAGACTGTCGAAATGCACTCGTGGTTTTTCATGCAGAGTCGCCACAGAAATAAGCCAAGTCCTATCACCTATCAGATCTGTTTAGTCTTTCATTTTAATCAAACTCGATAGATTAATTCAATCGTTTCACCGCTTCGTGGCGATGGTGTTTCAATATCCATAAGTTAAATTTTTATTGCTAAAAAAATTAATTAAGAGACCCAATATGTCAATCTTTATAATTGTTTCTTCCAAATTATACCTTGAATTTTCTTTCATTTAATCTACAAAATGCATAAATGAGGATTTACAAATTCTATATCGATAAATCAAAATATTTGTTCGAATAATATTTAATTTTTTACAATTTCTGCATTTGGATCAAAATTGTTCCTGACATAGTTGAAAACGTGCACGATACTCCAGGCCCGCGATATACTACATCTATAGATACACATACGTACATGCATGTTACAGGCTGTTTTTAAATGTCAACGAATTTAAATGTCAAAACTTTGGCAACATGTAAAGGACTAACGAATAATGTTAAATCCTTCATTTTTCTTTTCGCAATTTTTTCGAAATGAACGAGATAAAAACAAACAAATCTCTAAAAAACTTCTTATCTTAGTTTATCGTTCTCTACACGCTTCCGAAGTTTACATTTAAATTTGAAACACCCAGTATACAGGTATTATATACATTGCTTAACAATAAGTACAAAAAGTTTTTGTTTCATCACTATAATCGATTAATTCTGTAAGACAAATTTTTAAGAAGCATACAATAAATAATGAGGCAGAGCTTAGTAGTAAATTACTGTTAAAGAATTTTCGTTGTAGATGTCATGATTATCTTTTTTACGAGAGTTTCGCTCAAATGGATACGCCGCTTAAAGTGCGCTTCTGCTTTATCTTCGAAACGAGGTGTGGTTAATTGATACGGATGAATACTACATTTGTATTATAGTGAAGATATATTTCTTTTTGATAAAAGACCGGTCGAAACGAAAAGGGCACGATGCTTGGTCGTCTTCCTGCTTGTGTAATTGACGTGGGTACAGGGTATGTAATAAAATAAAAAATTAATCTCGACTATAATAAATAAGCCGAAGCGTGATCTAATGACACATGTCATTCGGTATATTAGAATGTATTTCGATAATGTAACTTTATCAACTACTTTTTCTTTCATTTTATTTGTTGCTATTTAGCTGTTACACGCATAACTGTTGATTTTTAATAAATTAGTAATAAATTTGTATTAGCGCAACTACCAAAATTTGAGTTTAATATATATACAATATATAATATAATATATATATATTCTTGTTGCTTATTTGTTCTGTCAAAAGAGAAAGTACTTATTATTATTTACGACTTTACAGATATACAAAGTTAGGTTTTGCGGGTAATAAAGAACCACAGCTTATAATTCCGTCTGCAATTGCCATTAAAGAAACTGCAAAGGTTGGAGATAATAATGCTAGAAGAATTACTAAAGGAGTCGAAGATTTGGATGCTTACATTGGAGATGAAGCTTTTGAAGCTACGGGTTATTCTGTAAAAGTATATTGACACATTAGTATTTATTTATATTCATATCATAGTGTACGATATTTTTCAAATTGCCTTGATGATTTATATTTAATTTTGCTTAGTATCCAGTCAGACATGGATTAGTGGAAGATTGGGATTTAATGGAGAAATTCTTGCAACAATGTATTTTCAAATATCTGAGGGCAGAACCTGAAGATCATTATTTTTTACTCACGGAACCGCCATTAAATACCCCTGAGAATCGCGAATACACTGCTGAGATAATGTTTGAATCGTTTAACGTGCCAGGTCTCTATATTGCTGTTCAGGCGGTATTAGCATTAGCTGCCTCTTGGACAGCTAAAACAATAGAAGATAGAACATTAACAGGTGTTGTTGTTGACAGTGGAGATGGAGTGACCCATGTAATACCAGTGGTAAGTGTAGATTGAGAGTAAACTGAAATTTACAATACGAGCATACAACATACTTTTCAAGAATATTTTGCGATTAACAAATTTATTTTAGGCAGAAGGTTTTGTTATAGGAAGTTGTATAAAACATATTCCTATTGCCGGTCGCGATATCACATATTTCATTCAAAGTTTATTACGAGAACGTGAAATTGGAATACCACCTGAACAATCATTAGAGACAGCTAAAGCAATAAAAGAAAAATATTGTTACATATGTCCCGACATTTCGAAAGAATTTGCTAAATATGACAGTGATCCAACTAAAATCAAAAAATACGAAGGTGTCAATAGCATTACAAAACAACCATTCATGGTAGATGTTGGATACGAAAGGTTTCTTGGGCCAGAGATATTCTTTCATCCTGAAGTATGTTCATTTGAAATCAATTATACGATTATGATTATAAAAAAAGAAAAAAATTTATCATGTGTACATTTCATTTTCTCATTGCATATTTAGTTCTCTAATCCAGATTTCACGACACCATTAAGTGAAATCGTAGACGATGTAATTCAAAATTGTCCAATAGATGTTAGGAGACCGTTATATAGCAACATTGTATTATCAGGTGGTTCTACAATGTTCAAAGATTTTGGTAGACGATTGCAACGTGACATAAAACGAATTGTCGATGCACGTCTCAAACTTAGCGAAACATTAAGTGGTAGTCTTATTACGGTAATGTATATTCTTATACGTTTAGTATGAGAAAAAAAGAAAAATATCAATATCTATGTTTTAATTTTATTTCAGCCAAAACCTATAGATGTTCATGTTATATCGCATCACAAACAACGTTGGGCAGTATGGTATGGGGGTGCTTTATTAGCTAGCGATCCAGAATTTTATACAGTTTGTCATACCAAAAAGGCTTATCAGGAATATGGTCCTGGCATTTGTCGTTACAATCCCGTATTCCATAGTATGGTATAAAGTAAATAAGAATACAAATGGTATTAAAAAAATTACATTATTACAGACCAATGGTCTCTTGATACTACGCTCTATTAACAATTTGTTCAATCTCTAATTTGTTTCAATTTCTCAAGTGATGATGTATTTGATTAAATGGAATGGGTGTTTTTATTACATACTGTTAATTGAAATAATTACAAAGGAACGCCCAGTATTACACTAGTAAACGCACACAAAAAGATTTTTATGCTCATCGATTATTATGATACATGTAATAAAGATACAGGGAAAATCACTCAAAAGAGTAAAGATTCTCTGTGTGAGAAACAATGTTACAAGAATAGTTGATAAAAAATGATAACGCAAGATGATTGTATAGATCTGTACATAATATAAGACAATTTGAAAATAATAATTCTTTTCTAATGAATCACATTATGGAATATATATTTTACATCCTGTATTAATATTTTCTTGGCATTGAGACATCAACAGAATGTAAATAATAAAAAACAAATAACATTTTAATACAAATAATAACACAAACAAATAACTTTGCAACAATATTATGTTTATTTATTAATATACACACACATAGTATGCATATATGTATGACTGTACACAGGGTGTTTCACCTAACTTGCACACCCTAATAACTTCAAAATTATATGTTCAATGAAAAATTGATGTATACAAAAGTTGAAGTCGGACGTATAATTTTAAAGTTATTTAAATTGCACAACTTGGGTGAAATACCCTGTATGTATATATTTTTACACATATGTATATGAAGTCATATGTATATGTATATATAAATTTCTCTCGTTTTACGTATTTACAACTTCTCAAAATAGGTATATAATACCCTTGTATCAGCATGTATATATGAATATAATCAGAGTATATCAAGTTTCAAATACGTACTATTATACAATTATAATGACGATAGTAGCAATAATAATATTACTAATAATAATAACATATAAAAAAGAAAAAAAAATTATGTTCACTATTAAATATTAGATATATTACCTAGGATGAAATGTATGTTATTTTCATAAAAATAGCTGTTGTTTGAAAAATATTTATGCACATGTAACTTCACTTTAGTATTATTCAGTTGAAAACAAACTTCCTGTACTCTGATTTGTCATTCTAGGTTATAATAATTGGGACCAATTATGTTTCTTCATTGTTAACATAGCTAAAAATTTCATACAATATTATATACTGTTATATTATAATTATCCGCTTATTAATTTTAATTATTATCATTATTGTCACCAATGTTGTTGTTGTTACTTCTATTACTATTGCCACTACTAAAACTGTAATTGTTAATTAATACTCACAACAGATTTAACCCTTCAAGAGCATCCGCAACATCGCCATTAATGTCCGTAAATAAAGAGGAGAAGAAGAGAGACAAAAGATTAGAGCTAGTTCTACTTGTGCTCGTAATGGTAGTAGGTCGTTTGTAAATATCAATACTATCCACAGGTGGTAAAGGATCGTACGAAAGAACAGAGCCATCATTTTGTACCTGGTATTTCACACAAAAGTGTTAGAGAAATGAGGAAATTAATAATATAAAGATAATACAAAAACTACTTATACCTCTTGAACGCTCACGGTAATATCTTTTATATCAGACAGTATAACATGCCGCAAAATATTCTTTGGTAGTTTCCCTTGGTAACGTTTACTTCGTTTTATCTCGCAATATTTTACATAATCGTCTTTCGAATCAACGCGATTTAGTACAGTGTGTACGTTTTCGCGTAACCAGGGTAAAAAATTTGCTTCTTTCCACAGAAGAAAGTTACGTACAACGTACAAATTTTGTAGCTTCTCTAGAGCTGGTGAAGTTGAAATTATTGCCTTAGTGTTAAAGAAGTTATGAGACTGTACCTGCAGAATAAGTTCGCGTAATAGTTAATCTTTTTTTAATTTGAGGTAAACATTTCTCTGGAACCGTAATAAAGTTGAAAGTACCATTTCATCGGATTGTATACCACATTTTTCCAATAACGACGTCAATACGCCCGGAAACATTATCAAAGCATTTTGTAAAAGCTCATTGGCGAGAATTACGTTGTCTAAATGAAAGTGAGCTAAAGCTAAACTGAACGCTATATTTGGCAGCTGCGTTAAATTCCTTGCACTATCCCAAAAATTGCAAAATTCGATGAACCATTTATATTCTTTTGCTTTTAAAGCATAGAAATCGAGACAAAGAATCACAGCTAATGGATCGCCTTCTGGATCAAGTGACAAAAGTAATTTACAAAACTCCAAACTCGTTCTGAAATGTAAATAAAAATTTGAAAAGAATTGAAGAAAGTATTAAGATTATATGTTTTTTACCTGTAACACGCACGTCCACCAACAAAATTAAGATGTTTAAATAAAGTTATGAATAAAGCACGATTTTGTTGCTTTCTATAATCTAATCTGCACAGACCAGTCGTAAAATTAAACAGCGGGTGAAAAGAACATTCCAAGCAGTACAGAGCTCGTTCTGTGAATTCTGCCGCCAATGCTAAATCTTCGTTGAGTTTGCATAATTCAGCTAGTTGTAATAACGCATCGATGTGATAAGAATGCATATTGATTATATTCTGAAACAAAATATTTGTTTATAAATTTACTTGAAGCAATTTTTGTACTTAGATGTAGTATTTAGATTAAAACACAACATACCACAATATTTTCGGGATTTAAACTTTCGACAGCTTGCAAAAATTTTAATTGTATTTGTCTGTATGACGGACTGTGATCGTACACAAAGTATTGAACATTATTGGTAGACTGTATAGTATGATCCAAGGACATTGAAAGACCAAATTTAGTAATTGGTGGCCAATTATCTCTGGCAGAAACCAACCAGGTTTTCTTCAAATGACGAAAACGACTATTTCTATTTCTTCTATTGCTGTTGAAATTAATTGACTGTGGCATAAGGTCTGATTATACTACATCTTACATCTACTTACATAATATTCGCTAAAAAACGTACTTTTGCTCAGCTTTCACCGTTTTGCTACCAAAGATTCTTTTGAGTTCGTTGTACGGATTCAAGTGTTTATGCTGCACTAGTAAAATATCCTCTTTGGACTTTTGTTCAATCTGCGAATTCTCTGCATTTTGAAAGCTACAACCTGGAAGTGGTTCTCCAAGCAATTTGTTCACTTCCTTCACTGTCCTTTCAATCTCATCCACGTCTTCCTCTTTGGAGTCGACAACTTGCGCTTTAGAATTCTCTAACTTTCTCCGTCTCTTCTTTCTTTTCTTACGCTTAGCTTTATCAGTGCTATTCTCATTCGCAGTTCCTTCTTCTTCTCCTTCTTCTTCTTCCTCTTCATCTTCGTTTTCTTCCTCGTTAATATCAGAATTTTGATTCAACTAAAAGAAACGAAACGAAGAAGATGGTACATTAATGACAAATGTTAAGTAATGTAACAAACATTGCAACAAGGAACATTATCGCTACAACTTATCGTTTAAACGCTAATCGTACGAAACGAAAGTTACAAACGTGGTGATTAAATAAAAATACTCGAGGCACGTACTACGTCAAACAAGTTGAACGCCTTTGACTTAACGTTGCCGATCAACGAACTCTCTAGTTCGCTCTCGTTTTCGCTGTCCTTCTCGGTCAGCACATCGCCGCCGTATACTTTTTTTATATACCGTGTAGACATTCCGAGTAGAGTTAACTTTCAATTTAAGCGCAGATGAATCGAGACGAAAACAATTGATTCCAGACCAGGACTTTGAGCGTGTTGAGTGAATCGCGGAGATCGTTGGTCTCCTCCTGATACTGTCAGATACTGCCGTCGAAGTCGAGGTCTGCCTTCACTCGTCGGATTCTCTCCCTCAAACGAACAAACAAAATTGTCGTAAATTGCATGGAAATGGATTCATCGTCACTGCGTATAGGCTCGCTACTTGTTAGACACTTCACATCACGTTATGGTCGCTACGATGTCCGCTACGATCGCCAATCAAGTCCTACCAACAGCCGTGCGATTTACAAAGTTGTTAAATTGTCAGACAAGATGACAAGTTCGTGGCAAGTTTACATTGGTTTACGTTAGCCACGTGCGTGTGCCGTTTGTTCGGAATTTTTTTTACCGTTAATACGAAATTTTGTACCGAGAAATCAAACATTACTGTTACTAGATATAACCTCTTTTGGATTTTACAGTTTTACAATATGCTTTCGACTAGAAGGTGACGCTACAAAAAGCCACAACCGGACGTTTTCTATATTTCACAATTTCATTTCTTCGGTTAACGTTTCCCCGTTATCGAAATGAATCTGAAGAAAGTTAAAAACAGATTGAAAGACGATAAACTAGACCTCAGCCTGTGCGACCTGAAAGAAGTGCCTATTCGAGAAATCGTACGTGCAAGAATTTACGTTATTATACGTATTTCATCTGACAAATACAAATTTATATTTAATTTTACTGAATATGACTTAGAACGTTGAATACATTCTTCTATCGTATGTCGTTTTGAAATGTGCGCTGTAAAACGTACATCATTGTATTGTAAATGCCAGATTGAATCATTAAAATGTAGGTCTTATGTTTCTCTAGGCAACTATTAAAAAAGCAACACATTTGGATTTATCAAACAACCTCTTAACTTCTTTGCCTGTAAGTTTCCTCATTTCTGTTACTTTTACTTAATGCAATGCTGTAGATAATTTTACAAGCAATTAATTTCAGAATACTTTCGTCGACCTGAAGCAAATAATCGTATTAGATCTCAGTAGGAATATGTTGACGGAAATCCCTGCAAACTTTGGGGAACTGAAACAGTTGAAACATTTGGATCTTTATGCAAATCAGGTTAAAAATATTTTTTTTATAAAATATTATTAAAGTAAAGTTCTTAAAGTAAAATTCTTAAAGTGAACCCGATTCGTGTAGATAACAGTAGAGTGGTTTTACAGATAAGTAGATTGCCACTTAGTTTGAGCGAATTGAAGAATTTAAGATGGTTAGATTTAAAGGAAAATCCTCTAACTCCTGCTGTAGCTAGCGTTGCTGGCTCTTGTAGTAATTTGAGTGAATGTCAGGCTTGCGCTCGTAATGTTGTTACTTATTTGTCACGTGTGAAACTCACTATCGAAGAAGAGAAGTTACGAAGATTAAACGCTATTACAGGTATTATTTTCGAAATTGGATGTGCGATGGCTTTTATACATTAAACACTGGTAAAATTTTTGGTTGTAGCAGATACAGAAACAAGTACTATATCGACCAAAAAAGGAGGTAAAAAAAAGAAGAAAAAGACAGTGGATAAGAATAATAAACAAAATTTAGATAAAAATGGTTCTGATTTGTCAAATAAGATGTTGGAAATAGATCAAGGCAAAATTGAACCTCCGATGTCGAATAAAAATCAAGATAATGAAAAACATGAAGTTAAAGGTAATACATCGAGATCTGCTGTACCACAAACTATCTAGAAATGCAAATGGTATTGGTATAATAATTTAATTACTTTTTTAGGAAAAGTACAACGATTTTTTATGTCTGCGATTTTGTGGCTTTTTTTATTAGGTTTAACATTTGCACTGATCATTTTGATTCTTCCATTATATTCGAAACAGTCGGAACACTTTATAAAGTATACAGAAACCACATTTGTACGTTTAAAGGAATTTCAGAAATATAGTACCGATATATTCGACTCTTTCATGCAAACGGTGATTAATATCTGCCATAATTTGTATCATGCATACGAGAGATATCTTGAAACGGAAACAGAAACACATTCCACTGAAGAAATAAGCGTTTTATAAGACAAAACAATACGACCAAATTTGTTGGGCACGACTGTTTCTTAAAGCTCAGCTTAACACGATTAACGAGTGAAACTTATTATTGAAATTTGTAAGTATGGTCATGTATATCGCGAATATTTACGACGTGTCGCATCGAAAATTACATACTCAAGTCAAAGGATGTTTATTTTAAAAAATAAAATAGTTAAAGAATGTTTATTTTAAAAAGCAAAATAATACTCTTTATTAATACGTATGTATTGAAATATATTATACTACTTCTTTGGTCACATACATTTAAATATGCGCAAATGCACATTTCTTTCTGAATGTTATCCACTGTTTGTGAGATTCGCTTTATTTAACAATATCGAAGACGTTGTCCTGGAAGATGCCTTGCCGAGAGAATTTTCCATTCTACTAATCAATTTCTGGAAGGTGTTCATTCGCAAGGAATTGTGTTGTTCGTTAAGCTCGTCCGACGAGCCCTCCGTCCCCTGTGAAACTCGGCCATTCCCTTCGGCAATCGACGAGTCGATTGTTTTCGATCTCCTCCCGCCAACAAATCGATTCCACGGCTTCTTTTCCGGACTGGTTTGCGACTTTGTCGTACCTTCGTTATCCTTCTCTCTGCTACTTAGAATTTCCTTTTGTCTTGTTGTGAACTCAGCGAGTATAGCTACGTCGTCGTACAAGTCGTTCGTTTGATGATCAACGGAGTGACATTTGGGATAATGCGAATCCGACCGTGGCGTTTTATAATGCTCGTCGTCTTCGAATGTTCGCTGCGAATGATCCACGTTTTCGCAGAAAGCAGGCCGATCGGTATCCGCGAGGCTATGAAGAGGACTCGGCTTTTTTGTAGTTTGCTGCAAATTCATAAAAATAATGCTAAAGCAAGAGACGTCTCAAGGGAGAGAAGATAAAATGGAACGACAGACGATTCTTACTTGATACGATTTATCGCGATACGCAATGTCGTCGTAAAATTCATCCGCGTCGGTTGCGTTTTCCGTCATCGGCGGTTTCGCGTAGATCGGCCTAGGCGGAGGTGGACAAGTATACTCCGATTGCTGTTCTTCGAAACGGTTCGTTTGTTGCTCGACGTTCGTCAGACCAGATACATCGTCGTAGTACGTCGACGATTCGTGATCGTTCGCCAACGGTGGCGAGGGTTGCGAAGGCGGCGGTGGCAGCGGCGGTGGCAGCGGCGGCAGTCGCGACGGAGAGCCCATAGGTTTACACTTGGTTTTTTTCTCAATTTTCTTCGGAGATTCTTTTTTACTTCTCACTCTGTCCAAAAAGGATCTCTTTTGCGGCGACTTTGTCAATTCCTCCGTTTTCTTCGCTGCCCGAACCTTGTTTGATTTTGAATTGCAAATGATACTCTGTGTGCGAAAGATATATAACATGACATATAACATATAACATGATATAACGTAGGACAAAAATAAAGTGAAATAAAGAGTTGAATAAAACGATTACCTCGACGTCGTCGTACGAGGCGAACATGTCCTGTTCGTCTACAACATCGTTATCCTTCAACGTTATAGCGGTATCGTCAGATTTTCCCTTCCTTTTTTCGTCGAATTTATCTTTCTTTTTGACGCTCGCTTGAATGTCATCGTAAGTTGCGGATGATTTCTTGTTCGATTTTTGTTCGTCGTTCATCTTAATTTGAGACGTCTCGCCGACGTTCCCGTATCGTATCGTGTCCCTAAAGTCTTCGATCTTGTGGTAAATGTCGTCCTCTTCTTCGTCGGGAAGTTCCTGAGACGAGTGTTTAACAGAGGGGATTAGTAACCTTTGAGGTATCCGAGCTGGCAACGGAGGAGGAGTCGGAGAATGTGACTGAGAAGAAGTAGGAACAGAAACGTTGCTCGACTCGTGAGACTCTTCGTTAGCAACGATTGGATCGTTTGCAGATTTATCGGAAAGCTCGATGTCGGCGCTTGGCGATACATCCTGATATCGTTCTTTTTTAGGATCTTCTTGGTCATTTGGCTGCTTAATAGTGCCGTTGTTTGCGACCATATTCACGTCCATCTCTCTCGTTGTGTCTTTCTCTTTACCGTCGTTCTTCTCGTCGCCCAATTCGCAGATTTTCGTCACCCATTGCTCCATGTCTTGCCGAGTTTTCGCGAAAAACTGAAATAATGTTTTACTTTATTCTCGTCTCGTCTGTTTTCTCCTCTATATTTACAGAGCATAGTATAGTATATTTTATATATTTTATATATTATATACTATATATACTATATATTATATATATTATATATATTATTTACAAAGCATAGCATAATATATTTTATAAAATTTGCTCCGTGTACCTGGAAGGTTCTGCTACCAGGGCGAAAAATCTCAAAGGCAGACTCGCTTCGACGCTGATCCCGAGATACCGCGTTTGGTGCAGCTCGGGCCATGTAACCGTGAATCGGCAGTATCATGCACGGGCGACTGTCACGATTGTTTCCATAAATCAATAGATGCAATCCAACCAAACCTATGTTGCATTTGCACAGAGAAATTGTTACGTTTAGTTTGCACGTTACGTTTACACTCGCATTGACGTTCGAATTCAACTTACCGACCCAGCAGCCTCGGTACTGCTCGAAAACGAACAATTTGTGTCTGTCTTTCCTGTAAAGTGGGCCACACATTTGACATTTACTTTTCGTCTCCGCCGCCGAGAAATTCGCGTAAATGTCTATCGGTGTATTTTCAGTTTCTTCTTTACTTTCGATGTTATCTATCGTCTCGTGAATCGGAGGCGTAACGTTATTCGCCGATTCAATTCCCTGGAAGGTCTCGTAATAATCTTGTTGTTGTTGTTGTTGTTGTTGTTCGTCTGCTCCCACGTATTCTTGAAGCTCGGTTTCCGTTTTCACTGTTGCCGCCAACAAACCTTTCGATCCGGCTGCATTCATGTTTAAATATGGCTCCGGGGATGCAGACCTCCCGATTCTCTCTATCATGAACATCGTCAGCGAATCCTTCGAACGTACCAACAGATTGTCTCGGATGCTCTCCAACGCGAGTGGAAGTTTCACGTCGCGCAGACATTCCAAAAACTGCACCATATCTGTCACGAGGGAAAACAGAATTTCATATCGATTCCATCGACTTTGATCGAAACGACCAACGTTTAGCAATATATGTATAGTGTAACACAACTTACTTTTCACAGCAATTGCAAGGAAAACTAACATTTGTGCGTTAACATCTGATTTACCTCGAAGGATGGCGGTAACGTCGGCGTTGAGTGCCATGATTTCGTTTTCTGCTCGAATTCTTTGCCAACCTTTGACTTCTCACGTATCTGTGCCTGTGTGTTTCGACGACTTCGAATACGAACTGTCACTTTGGCTGAAATTCACCCAGGAAATGTGATGATTAAACGAGACAAGCGATAAGAAACGAAAGAGTAACTGTCTGCTTTGAAACATTGAAACGAATTTTGACATGTTCCACCGAGCGAACCGATCCTATCATATAACACTCACGGTTTGTTCTAACGTTTCTAAATAAAATACAAGTGACAAACAAAGTTCAATCAGAAATCTCACCTGCGGTCTCCTATTGCTGCGCCTACGCTTATACCTTAAATCGTCATGTCGGTAAATATTTATTTCATATTCACATATTCGTCTTCTACATTTCACACATTCTCACATACATTTTTACTCGCTGTTTCTCACTTTGTTTAACTTTACTTTCTGAATGAAACTTTCCAAAAGAATGTCTTTCTAACGTGGAATGTGTGTAATTGCTTCTCGATGTTAACTCGTTAAGATTCAACGAGCTGAACTGCACGTGGGAGCAAGCAAAGGCGGCTCCCGCAAAGACTGTCTTGCTGTTGCTACTCGTTGTGCTATCTTTCGCTTTTACTTCTCTTCTTTCTCTCTCTCTCTCTCTTCTGTCTCTGCTGTCATATACGTATACGTATACAAATACAATGTTCCTACGAACGACTGACTCACTCTTTTCCAACCGTTGTTCCCTTTTGCTGTAATAATCTTCCGTCTCTCTCGCGTTTATTCTCCTCGATTCGTGCTCTCCTCTTCTCGGTCGTGAATTGACGCGGCGCGACATGTTTTGATTGATCATTCCAATTGACGGTGTAAGAAAACTACCAAGAAGCAAACATTGTCACTCGCATAGCACACTCTGCGACGTGTTCTTCTCTCTCTCTCTTTCTCCAAATTTCTTTTTTCTCTCGATCGTATTATCGTGTTATCGATGCATTTCGGTATTGACGTAAAATGCTTGAAATAATAAATGTTAGTTTATTTTGCCAACGAACAGCTAGATTGTGTATAGTACAAAGAAGGGATTTCTTAGAGACGAGAAGCTTGGCTCTGCTGCTCCCCATTTTTCAATAAATTTCCCAAGGTGCTTTGCCGCGTACTTTATCCAACGGTTTCATGTAAACGTCCGTTGCGATCTCCGACATCTCCGGATACGAATCGGCTTTCGCTTGTTTCATTTCCTCGTCCACTACTTTGTACGTACTCTGCCTCATCTCCTAACGGAGGCAGACTCGAGATGAAGGAAGAGAACGAGAGAAAAAGGGGAAGAGATTCTTACAAGAATTTCCGCTTCGGTCTTCACGCCGTTCTCCACGAGCAGCTTGATCAGCAACTCTATAGGATCTCGCTTGGTTTGTATCGTTTTCACTTCCTCTCGCGTGCGATACGAGACGCCAGGATCGCTCATGCTGTGCCCGAAGTATCGATAGGTGATCATCTCGAGGAGAATCGGCCCGTTTCGTAGAGCGTAGTCCCTCGCGAATTTCATGGCTTCGCGAACGTCCATCACTCTCATGCCATCTACCTGAAAACGAAAGAGATACACGGGGAAAGGGGGAGAGAACGAGAAAAAGACACCAATCTTCTTCTCTGTTTCTCACTCTCCCTCACCCTCACTCCTGGAATCAGATCTCCCCGAGTGTAAAGATTGGTGTTGGCCGAGTGCCTATCCACCGACGTCCCCATCGCGTATTTGTTATTCTCGCAAATGTACACCACCGGCAGGTTCCACAATTTCGACATGTTGTACGCCTCGTGGACCTGGCCTTGAGACGCAGCGCCATCCCCGTAAAACGTCCAAGCTACTCCGCCCGTGCCTTTGTACTTCTGAGCGAACCCCAGTCCAGCGCCGATCGGTACCTGTTCGTACCGAACAATTTTCATCCCCAATCGTTGATTATTTTTAAATTACTTTTTTTAAAGTTATTTCAGAAAGAATCGTCTGTTTACGAAAAATAACGAAATTATATGATTTCGTACTTCGTGCGAAAATTAACACTAGAACTACCACACCAGTCAAAATGACTGGTTTTACAATTTTATTTTAAAATTTCTATTTCATATTATATTTTTTTTTCCCCGCAATGATTTTTGCAGTGATAATTAAAGAAATAATACAACGAATTTTATTTTATTTTTATTTATTAGAAATCAAAATAAGTGTGTATCGTGGCTATTTATATCAATTTATCACTGCAGTAGTTGTTTGACGATATAGAAAGACAGTTTTTATAAATTTTCATAAATTCATCCAAACTCGACTGCAAAGTGTTAATCGCTGGATTTTTTGATGACGATGGAAGAGATTTGGACCATATATTAATAAAACAAGTATTTCTTAGTAAATATATTAATAAAATATATTTCTCTCGTCTTTGGCATCAGCAGAGAGAGACTATTCTCATTTGCAACATTAACAAATTTTGTTCATTAACTAAATGTTTGAGGAACGAGTTCTAAATTTGTTCTGAATTTGTCTCTTAAAAGCCAAGACATTTTGACTTTCATTGACTAATTCTTTTTTTCATATGAATATTTTAATGAATATCATTGATATTTATTCTGAATGTTGTTTCCAATTATCAAGTAAATATTATTCTCTCGGATAATCTTCAAATTATTATTTTCCCAATTACTTGCATAGCTTCAAGTTTCTTCGACTGACCAAATAAGCTACATACCATTCATTGAAATCTATTATTTGCTAAATACCGAAGAACATTGTTTCAAAAAAATTTATTTACAAGTTAAATATTATTCAAAGTAAATTTCGCCAAGACCTGTTGTACCAACGTTGCCTTTCGATCGCGAGATGGGGAAAAAAAAATGGCTCGCGCCATTTCTTTACCTGACCGCCAACGATCCCGTCGCCTCCGTAAAATTGATTCGCGTACATGTGCATGGAGCCGCCTTTCCCCTTCGAGACTCCAGTTTTGCGACCCATCAGCTCCGCGAAAACCCGTCGTGCCGGTACACCGAATACCACAGCAAAAGCATGACATCGGTAAGCCGTGATTATACTGTCCTTTTCCGATATCGACATCTTCATACCAACGGCTATTGCTTCCTGCGCAAATACACATGATTCTTTTCTCTCTCTCTCTCTCTCTCTCTCTCTC